TGAGGGTGTTTCTAATGACTATCATAAACAACAAAAACGAATGAAATGACTGAGGCAAGTGCGTCCGTTTACCTGTGACTACATGTAGCTACGGCCCAGATTTCTCTCAGAGCATCAGTGTATATGAACACTTTATCTACCGCAGCACAAAAAGAAACGCAAATGAAGGGTCTGGAAACTACTTTTCTACCTCTCTTTGACAAACGTTCTTTCTTGATCCGCCTACAAGAGAAAGTTGCTGGTTTGACAAATTTTCTTAAACCAAAACTGTTACACTAGTTTTTGTCAACAAAACCATTCATTAATGAAGGAGTAAACAGGAGCCCAAACGAGACGACCTCCCCGATCGCTTCCCTCTCCGAATTCTTCAGTTTCGCGCTCGTCCACTCGCTTTGCTCGCCAAACTTTTTTCCGTCCTCGCTGGGAGCCTATTCGCAGGCTACCAGGATTACAGATACTGTACGTTCTCTGGTTTTAAAGCTTCCAGTCTAAAGTGCAAAAGCGTGAATGTAAAACCATTTATCCCAATAAAATTTGCCATTTTTTTCATTTACATACACAACTGAGATATTAGCCCTAGCATTCATTTGTGGCTTTCACCGAACTGTCTTGTTCTTGTCCTCTACAGGAGTAAAAGCTCGACCCAGGTCACTGCGGTAGCNCGCGCTCGTCCGCTCGCTTTGCTCGCCTAATTTTTTTTTTCCGTCCTCGCCGGAAGTCTATTCGTAGGCTACCAGGATTGCAAATACTGTAAGTTCTCTGGTTCAAAGCTTCCAGTCTAAAGTGCAAAAACGTGAATGGAAAACCATTTATCCCAATAAAATTTGCCATTTTTTTTTTTTTTTTTTTTTCATTTACGTACACAAGAGAGATATTAGCCCTAGCATTCATTTGTGGCTTTCACCGAACTGTCTTGTTCTTGTCCTGTACAGGAGTAAAAGCTCGACCCAGGTTACTGCGGTAGCCTCGGCCCAGGTTGCTGAACAGGAGGCAGCGGTTGCAGTAGCTGCTGTGTCTGACTGGGTTTACGATCCTAATGAACCTCGGTATTGTCTTTGCAATCAGGTAAGGGAATTGCCTCGTCTTCTTCCAGGCCTTCACGGTCAATTAAGTTCGAAACAGATTGACCTTTGCGAGGCCTAGAAACAAAGCAAGTAGGGAAAGACTTGTAATCTTAGTAAAGTGTTTCCGAGCGAAGCTTGATACGCAGTCTGTAATTCCAGTTAGAGAACACTGTTTTGTTGAACAAATGTAGTTTTCGAACTACAATTGAAGCTCAAAAGTTGTAGTGTAACTAGAAAGGTATGTGTCTAGACTGGAGAGTCTACATACATATAACTATGTCCCGTACACTTAAAATTTAGCTTTTTGCGATTAGAATGTTATAATTTTTACAGTACTGATTAGTTTAGGTGTCCCCATTTACATGTAGCTTACTGCTTTTTTGAGCTAGAATTTTGGCACGTTAATATTTTTTTATTATTATTATTTTATTTATTTGATTTTTCCACCACCACCAGCAGCAGCAACAACAACAACGAACTGTCTAATTTGAGGGTTGACAGTGTATGCTATTAAAACAGGAAAGAAAGAAAAAATAGTAAATAATTCTTATAAGCCTGGAAGTTGTTGTTTAAACATTCTATAAGGGTGAACGGCATTTTGTAATATGGGTAATATTTTCTTGCAACTTGTTGGCCAACTTTGTTCCAGTTGAAAAGCGCTTTCACTCTTATTACCACCCGTGTTACAAGGTGTGACAACAAGTTGATTTTACTAGACACACGTTCAACTTCGTACGTCACTTTACTTGTCATCTTCATTATAAACACCAGCCCATTATTTATTTGCGTCAATATTTCTTTACCTTTAGGTCTCCTATGGCGAAATGGTCGGATGTGATAATCCTGACGTAAGTAACTGTCATTGGCGCGTGAGTGCACATTTTTGTATTAGGCCGCCGTCTTGAATTTGGTAACTGTGGAATGTTGGGGCGAGGGACAATTTCCCGAGGAGAGGTGGAAAAATGAGCGAGAGGGGAGGTGGAGGGGAAGGAAATAAACAACTGCCCCACCCACCCACCCATTACCCCCTGCACTTTGCCCCAACCAATTACAATCTAAGATGGCGGCATCGAAAACCAAGTCTGTCGAGGGTGACATTCCAAAATAACGCCTGCACTGAAGGCTCTTCTTTAGATGGAACGCCTTATTCAGTAGATTTACAATAATGTGCAAAACAAGTAGAGATAAATCAAGCCTGACAAAAAAATAAAAAAGCTTAGTGAAAGCCTGAATTATTTTTAGGCTTTAATTTCACAGCTGCTTAAGTTGTGTGGATAAAACTGCGATCTTCATTCTTGTCTTCAAATCTTTCTCCGCAGTTCAAATACGTGATGTTTCATGTATCCACTTCCAATCAAGGGGAAATTGAGTTGGTGGAGGCGTGTTGGCCTCATGGTTAGTGCGCTCACCTCCAGTTCGAGCGGTCCGGGTTCGAGCCCTGGCCGGGGACATAGTGTTGTGTTCTTGGGCAAGACACTTTACTTCCACTCTGCCTCTCTCCACCCAGGTGTATAGATGGGTACCAGCGACCTTAATGCTGGGGGTAACCCTGCGATGGACTAGCATCCCATCCAGGGGGAAGTAGAAATACTCCAAGTCGTTTCAGATTTCCGCCACTCTCTCATGCTACAGAAACCGGGATAAGCTCTGTATGCAGACTTCACCCGAATCATATTGACATTTATGTGACTGTTTCTTTCGCTTTTCAGTGTGCTATCGAGTGGTTTCATTACGGATGCGTTGGATTAACAGACGCTCCCAAAGGAAAATGGTTCTGTCCTCAATGTCAAAATCAAATGAAACAACAAAGACGAGGAGGAAGACACAAATGAACAGCGTACATGAAGGCTATCTGGATAAGTGTAACGCTCTACGGTGTGAAAGGGCCCCTTTTTCGTGACTATTGGCTAAGAGTGTTGCGTGACTGATGGTTGTTGCCCGTAGGTGTTACGTGAGGACACAAGGGAAGCTTGCAAAAGGGATTGCATTTCAAAATTAAGGAACTTAACGAGCATGAAACTTGGAAAAAGAAAGTTATAGACAAATCGAAACACTCTCCAGAGTTTGCGTGAAAATGGGAGAGTTCGTTGCGAAGCTGCTTCCCGATATTTCAAAGACTGGGCACATGTAGGTCTCGATTTCCGCCACTCTCTCAAGTTATGGTGTAACTGTGTTTCTCGTGCGCCTCTTCGTGGCTGAAATTTATGGACGTAACACTACTTACATTGTTGCAGAAATCCCTTCTACTCGTGCAATAATATCGTGTAATATTGCTACCCACTTTCTGCCGAATTGTGCTCAGATGGTGCGACAAATTTCCTGCCTTCTTGCTGTGTAATTTTCAAATCGAACACAAAGGACGTCTCTCATAGTAAAAGTACTAAACATAAGGTTAGCCATTTTGTGGGTAATTTCCACTATCATAAATTGCTTTCAGCGCGCCGAATGCTCCACAGTGAAGATACTGTAGCGTAATATTGCTTGTAGTGTTTTAGCGTTTGTCCGGAACTTAGTCCCCGTCCGGTCCACATTAATCCGAATAACTTTTTAAAACTGAGGTTTCACTCTGAAAACGCATCAAATGTGTTCTTCCACATTACGTCGGAGGAATTTAAAAACGCAACAATCACCGGTTGTTTTGAATTTGTGTTTGAGAAAAACTAGGACAGGGAAATCAAATGGCAATTGTGACTACATCGTTTTCGAAAAGCACCGTTTTCGAAATGTTTTCCGTTCACACTAAAACGAAAAACCCGGCTTTTTCGAATTCCTCCGGTTTGAAGAGCGCTCTCGAAAAGCTCCGTTTTCGTGACGGAGTAGTGTGGACGGTAGGCCTAACTATAAAAATAACGCTACGTTTTTTCAAGTTCTTTTGGCGTAGCGAAGACGGCTCCTTAGTGAATGAGCATTTATGTACAATAAGGGGACCTGGTGTCGGTCCTGGTAAGATAGAACTCAATTACTAGCCACTGTCCGGGAAACCAGCCTGCGTTTTATACTGGAACGACGACCGGACACGACGGAGACACGGCGGAGATCTCCCGGGGAACGGGGGTGCTCGACGTACATTTTAGGGGGGGAAAAAAGCGATTATGGTACCTCGTAGGGTATTCAGCCTCCGAAGGTTGACAGCAGGAGCTTTTACGGAACCTTTTACTTTAGTAGGGTATTGAGCCGAAAGAAAAAACATGATGGGAGGTGATGTGTTTTAGAAATGGTACTTCTTAGGGGTGAAAAAAATTAAGCCACGCCCACAAAACAGGATTTTGGTACCTCTTATGTTAGGGGTTCTTCTGAAAAATTCCGACGAACACCCCCGTCTTTTTTATATGGGAGCCCCCTCCCCCTCCCCCCTCGGGAGGGGGCAGAAATTGAGCCCAAGAAAACACCCCGCGGATGAATTTCCAAGCCTCAAGAAGATCCTTTAGATATTCACATTTCCTCTGATCATGGTGTGTTGGTTGAAAAGTGGAAAAGTGCGAATGTAACATTCTCTACATTGAAACCTTATAAACATTTGTTGCCATACGCAATTGTTAGATGTACAGAATAAACATTTGAATTCATTATGTTTAAAGTACTTCTACAGTCTTACTTCAAAGGCATTAATTGAAGAAACAAACCAATTTTAAATCTGGCAATCTAGTTTCAGCTCAGTCTCGTTTTGGTTACTTAACGAAATCCTCCGCAAAATGTAGAAGACTCGAGAAAGCTATCAAGGAATTTCGCATGACCCTAAAATTACGTCAGGGAAAGTTCTTTTAACGTACAGAACTAAAGTGTTTGAGTGTATTGGTGAGCAAGAACTTTGTTGGGTAGGTGGGAAGAATGATTTTTTTCTTTTTCTTTTTTGCACAAAACGTCTCATTAGGTTTGTTGCCTGTGAGCAGCAAAAGACAAAAGAGAGCTTAAGCAAACCACAAGGACAACGGAAGGGAGAACGTCGCCAAACAAAAGGTTTAATGATCAAAACAATGTCTGTGCACGTACGTCACATATCTTTGTACATTTCTTTGCTGCCCTTCCTGAGGGGCGGTGGATGCTTTGGGAATTTCTGGGTGGGGATGTGCCGCTGGGACCCTGCAACCCTTAGCCTATACCAGAGCTAGTTCAGCTGAATTTTGTTACCCTATACTAGAGTAAACTCCCCAAATCTCCCCATCTCCCCCCC